GATTTGTGTTGAATGAGAACAAGCTTTTATGCCTTCTGCACACAAAAATGGAGATTTATGAAGTTGATGGAACTAAATAGAAAAATACATGATCTCAAGGGGACATCTGGCGAACATTGACGGTAACCCGACAGAAACTGATTTAGTGCAATGGCCCTACTACCATTAGAGTTTCTTTCATTATATGAAAAAAAAAACCAAGCAAATATTACTAAATCAACTATTTCCATGACACCGTTTTGGAAGGAAAATAGTTTAACACCACCACATACATTATTGGACTTGTTACCCTTGTCATATTTGGCATTTATATATATATTTGTCTGATAAGCTTCTGCATAGTATACCTGTGTTTAATATAAAAATCACTATGTAAAAATATTTGGCAATATTTTACATCCTGAATGTGGGGGAGAATATCAGAAAAGTAAGCCTGTATTTGATATTCTAACCTCTACGCCAGTGTCCCTGCATCTAAGTAGAGGTTGGAGAAAAGGGAGTTTAATGACAGCCAGTCAATGGTCTCACGAGTTGAGACCCTCAAGGCAGGAGGCAGGTTAGCAGCTTGAGCTGGGCTGCCATTAGTCAACCTCACGCGTCTACATTGCAATCTGAGAAATAGGATTTGGAAGACAATGTAGGAGGGACATGCATACATTCTCTTCTCTGACCCTTACAACATCTATCACCCCTATGTTACAGGCTAGTGAACAGTCCAGTTCTCACTGAGATGAGCCCAACTCCAAAGCCCTTATTTTTGACCATTTCACTATGCTACCTCTCTAACAACCTTGTCGTAAACATAACAGCATTTGGCTTCTGCTCTTAGCAGATTTTGCTCTCATCTTCACACACCTTTCCTCCAGATTCTAATTTTTTAACTGATTTTTTTTTAGATTTTATTTATTTATTTATTTGAGAGAGCGAGAATGAGAGAGAGAGAGAGAGCACATGAGAGGGGGAAGGTCAGAGGGAGAAGCAGACTCCCTGCTGAGCAGGGAGCCTGACGTGGGACTCGATCCCAGGACTCCAGGATCATGACCTGAGCTGAAGGCAGTCGCTTAACCAACTGAGCCACCCAGGCACCCTTTTAACTGATTTTTTAAAAAGATTTTTTATTTATTTACTTGAGAGAGAGAGCACGTGCATGAGCAGGGGGGAGGGGCGGAGGGAGAAGGAGAAGCAGACTCCCTGCTGAGCAGGGAGCCTGATGTGGGACTAGATTGCTGGACCCTGGGATCATGACTTGAGCCAAAGGCAGACGCTTAACTGACTGAACCACTCAGGTGTCCCTTAACTGATTAAAAAAAAATGGTCATATTGATTTTATTGAAAATTTAATGGGAAAATGGAGGACGGGTGTGCATTGACAAAAATATTATAAATTGTGATTGAACTTCTCAGGGTGACTAACTCTTTCCAGAGAGGTATCTCTGCCTTCTCTCTTGCTCAAAAACTCTTTCTTTCCCTCTTTATTCACAGGGGCTAAAGCTACTCTTCTGAATCTCTTCATCTTTTATACTCTACTCAGTGAAAGAAGAGTTTAAAAATAAAACCAGAGAAGAGGGTCCAGTAAAGCAAAAGGTCTATTCCAAAAACAAGCCCTGCGTGTCTAAATAAGACTCCATTTATGCTGCCTCTAAAATAATCTCAACAGTCGAGGTCAAAAATCCCTCTCATTATCTTCAAGATGATGGGTGGGAATTGTCCATTTAGATACAATGTTAATTTAAGGATAATTATTTCCTCCTTCTTTGGCCACTTCCTGATCAGCAACTCCAAATGTGCACAGAAAAGAAATTAAATCAAAAGTTAAGATTCCTGTGTTTCTAGAGATGTGACAGTGTAAATGAGTGAAGTAGCCCATGAGGCTAAGGTGACGATGGTGGCAGCTAAAAGGATAGACTTACCCAGTTCCAGCAGATTGTTGCCATGAAGGTAGGAAAACAGGATTTAGATTTTGTTTTCAAGAAAAAAATAGAGATCCAAAATTTTATGTGAAATCTCCCTTTTTGAGAAATAATTGTACCTTTTGTGCAGTATTGTACGTACCAAGTAAAACCCAGAGCACCATTTTGTTGTCTTTACCATAAAAGTTGAACTTTCTGGAGTAATCTACCCTATCCTGAGATCTCCCCCTTCCTGAGATCTCACTACTCTCGTGGCTTCAGTTACCAGCCACGTCCCAGACTTCTCATCTGAGCTTCTGAGTAGGCAGAAATATCTATAACTGTCTGCATCTGGCTGCTATCCCAAACTCACCATGTCTAAAATTAAAGTCATTATCTAATCTCTCAAATAAATCCATTCTTCCCCCCATATTTCTTACATTAGTACACCACATGACACATGCCTTGTTTGGTAGGTACCTAACTACCCTTACTTTTCCATATCCCATCAATTCCAAGTTGTGCCAATTTTTACACATATCCTGTTATCCACATCTCTCTAATCTCACTGCTATACTGTAGTGCAAGTTGTTACCATCTTTTGCATAGAGTATATTGGAGACATTTTTACTGAGGTTAGGATCTATAGCCATCATACAAATGGGAAGATGTATGTCAAACCTCAGGTACAGGGGTGCCTGGGTGGCTCAGTTGGTTAAGCAATTGCTTTCGGCTCAGGTCATGATCTCTGATCTCCGGGTCCTGGGATGGAGCCCCTGTTGGGCTCCCTGCTCAGCAGGGAGTCTGCTCTCTCTCTCTCCCTCTGCCCCTCCCCCCTGCTCGTTCTCTCTCTCTCTCCCTCAAATAAATAAATAAATAAAATCTTAAAACAAAACCCTCAGGCACATTCAGCCAGTGAGATACTCAGACTATGGAAAGACCAAATGTAGGAAATGCCATTCCTTAGTTCCTCCTCATCTGGAGCATCCTCTCTCCTCATTATGTGATTCTCGCAAGCTATTTAAATTGTTCTCTCTTGTTCTTTCTATTTTCTCTTTGTCTAGCAGATATAATTGCATTTCCAGAAGTTAAATGTTCATATGATGCACATCCAAATCCTGCAAACACATCTTTAGTCTTGGCTGTTGCAAATAATAACACAAGGAACACAGGAATGCGGATGTCTTTTTGAGTTAGTGCTTTCATTTCCTTCAGCTAAATACCCAGAAGTAGAATTGCTGGATCACATTGTAGTACTATTTTTAATTTTTGGAGAACCTCCGTACTGGTTTCCATAGTGGCTACACCAGTTTGCATTCCCACCAACAAGATGCCAGGGTTCCCTTTTCCTTCAGACCTTCAGGGTTGCCTCTTACTCATCCTTTGTGTCTCAATTCAAATATCATTTTCTCAGAATGATCTTCCCAGCACTCCCCAGCTAAGGGCCTCATCCCACCGAATGGCTCCATCACTCCGCAGCTTTTCTTCTTTAGAGACAGCAGCACCTGAAATAATGTTGTTCATTTGTTTCCGTGATGAATGTCTACCTGTCCACGTGAAGGCAAGCACATGTGTACTGTTTATTAAAATACCTTCCATTTCCAGAGTAGCAGCACATAGTAGGCGTCCTGTAAAGACATTAACTGACCCTTTCTGGGTATGCAGGTGCAGGCTGATCAAGCCTTCAATATCCTAAAGATTTACAAGAAGATTACACACTGTCAAAGCAAATGTGTGGTTTTCTAAATGTATCTAGTGACCTCTGCTGGAACTACCAAGGAACCCAAATACAGGTCTTCATTTTTCCCTAATTGTCCTCTCACCTCATTTTCACTGAATGATGAAATGTTAGTGTGAGTGTGAAATTAGGGATCAGGACTTTGGAGAGTCCTTCTCCCATCTTGGAGAAACTTCACTTGCCTTTCTGTCTGAATTATTCGTTTTCTATTCCCAGCTCATCAATTTGTGTTTTTAGCACAAATCTTAGAGGAGAATATTCAGGAATATGGAAAACAAAGAACTTTTTCTGATTCCTCTCCAAATCTTATTGCAGAAATTACTGCCTTGGGCGCCTGGGTGGCTCAGTTGGTTAAGCGACTGCCTTCGGCTCAGGTCATGATCCTGGAGTCCAGGGATCGAGTCCCGCATCGGGCTCCCTGCTCAGCGGGGAGCCTGCTTCTCCCTCTGACCCTCCCTCCTCTCATGCTCTCTCTCTCTCTCTCATTCTCTCTCTCAAATAAATAAATAAAATCTTTAAAAAAAAAAAGAAATCACTGCCTTTCTCTTTTTGTCTTTCTCTCTCTCTCTCTCGCTCTCTGTCTCTCTCTCTCTCTCACACACACAACACAAACACACACACACAGGAAAGAAGAAGATTCACCCACATAACATGGATAGATGAAGATATATTCCATGGACATATTTCATATGGTTCCATTTATTTCACTCTCCTTGACTGAAGGAGCAATTTTGAAAATAGCATTCACTATTGAAAAGAATTGGTAAAGGTGTCCTCATGTTAGGAATTATAGGATCAAAATAGTTACATAAGTCTACTTTGAAGGGTCATTAGGAGATGATGTGTCCTTAAGAATGCTGGTACTTGAGGCAAAAACCTCAAAGGAGAATTGAGGACCAGGAATTTCAAAAAGTCAGAGTAATGAGAGTGGGAGTGGTGAAACAATCCTCAGGTGATCTGATTAAACTTTTGAAAACAGCTTTTTACTTTTTAATTATCATTGATCAGAGAAAATCACATTCTTTGTATGTTATATCCAAAGACACACTGGGATTTATACTTTTTCATAGGGAAATTTTTAAGAAAAGTAATTAAGAGGAGGGGAGCCAAGATCTATGCCTAACATTAAAATTTAGATTATAAATGTAGACTATAATAACTAAGAATAATTATTTTAATGTTCTAGAAACAGGAATCAAAAGCATACTTAGGAAATCTAAAAGGATTTAAAGCATAGAAATGGTCCCAGTGAATTCTTCATGTAATCTAAAGTGGTCTGCAAACTTAATAAGGGGAATTGCTAATCTTGGATCACTTTGGAAGTGATGAAATAAGCACTGATGACTGTAGGAGTCTAGGAGTTTGGTCAAAAGGACAAGGGCTAAAGGTCTGGATTTGTGTCATGCTCAGCCTATGAGGATTCCACCATCCGAAGGGGTGCTTGCCTAAGCCCCGAACCCAAAGATTTTATGTGTGATTGAGTTGGTCAGGTCAATACTGATTGGAGATACTGTCCTCACTGGACTTGCCCAGAAAGACTGCAAAGAGGAGCCAAAAATTCCTCCTTAAACTGAGAGTTCTCTGGGAAGCACTTGAGATTTCATTTGACTGGTTTATACCTATGAGAAGTTCCCCAAGCCTGAGATCTTCCACCCTGAACCTGGGCAGCTGTCAGCACAGCGCTCCTGGGATCACAGTTTATTGAAAAAAGGATTCAAAAAAGTTTCAGACGACTGGAAAAAGAATGCTCCGAGGCCGATCTCTGTCTGTGACATCCCTGAGTGGGCTTCCTCAGTGGGAAGTTGAAGAACTTCCTGTGGAGGATTTACTGCTTTTTGAAGTCGCTTGGGAAGTAACCAATAAAGGTTTGTACTACCCTGGAAGGTGGCTATTTGCCAGACTGCTGAATAATGTGGATTAGGATTTCAGAAGTGACTCTAGTGCGAATGAATTGACAGGGAGTAAGGAAAGTATTCAAGCTGAATAGAAGTTTCAGTTACATTCCACCTGTCTATTTCAACAGGCAATGATAACTTAGATGTGGCTGTGTGTTGGAGGGAGAGAATGTTGAAAATATTAGTCGTTGCCAGGAAATGTGCATTTAAGCTAAAATTTGAAATGCAGGTTATGACGACACAGGAATAAAAAGCTATTAATTCCTTTTTTGGTTCTCTCAACAACTTTATTTTAAGGAGAACCATATGCAATCGGGACCAATGACAAACTTTAAGCTGTGCACTGTTAAAGATTATATGAAATACTTAATAATATTGCTAATAATTCGCAACGAGGTTGGAATTAGAGTTTTAACTTAGTAGCTGGGCAGAAGGCATTATGTCAAGCTCCTATTAAGAAGAATGAGAGTATTTCAAACTTAGAGGAATTATATTTGACATCTGTTCTGATTTTCACCTTATGCTAAGTGTTCAGAGTTCTCATGTGTATATATTCACAAAATTAATTAAATCTTTTTTATAAAATTCATAAAATCTTGAAATCAAAAGTGAAAATCAATCTTACTTATATAGAAATGCAGGAAGGAATGTGAGAGAACAAAGCAGTCTTCCTCTCTGTAGTTTAGTGAGGTGGAAGCAAAGAGAGCAAAAATCTTATTATGGAGAAGTGTTTTATGAAGAGCTGTTTCTAATGTGCTTTTTTCTAGGGTGTTTAAATATACCCAAAGTTCCTAGGAATAGAGTCATCTCTATTATTCATAGATCCCAGACTATGACTTGAAAGAAGGTTTTTCTCTACAGATGTAGGTTGTTGGTGGAAAAACTGGGGGGATTCTTTAGCACTGGGAGTCAGTTCAGAGGAGTGTGTGAGTTCTAGTACCTGAACAGAGTCCTTCTTCCTTCTTTCCTCCTTTTCTGTCCATTTAGCAAACATTAATGGAGCATTGTGTCCATGCTAGGAACACACTGCGAACATGTTATCCCATGGAGCTTACATCCTGGTGCCGTGCGGGCTGATCTCAGGGCCTAGAATGGGGACTGGTGCGCAGAAAATGCTCAATGGATTTTTTTCCTTTGGAATGAAGGAATGAATACATTTGTTTACAGCCCTCACTGCCTTTGAAACCTATTTTCTTTCATTTCCCGTACAAGGGGAAGGAAATTTTTTGTGTGTGGAGAAGGGAACCACAATGTGATTTACCCAGCTGACATCATCTCCAACATGTCTTTATTTTAATACTTATTACAGTCGGATATTTTAGAAATTTTCATATAAATGGACAATAACTGTGTTCATCCCTGACAATAAAACAACACTATATATATAGTTTTTTTAAAAAATTTACTTTGAATTTTTACTTCCCTGCAGTTCATGGCAGTGATAGGAGGCATCTTAGAATCCAACTCCTCTATTTCCAAGATGAAATGGATGCCTAAGGCATTACATGATCAAGCAAATGGAAGGGTTGGGACTAGCATTTAGGTCTTCTTCAAGGTCACTTCTCTTTTTCACTACCATACAAGAATTAAAAATTAAAATCATTTCATAAGGAAATGTCCTTTAGATGAAAGAACACAGGACTTGTTCTAAATTTCTAACACTTTATAAAAACATTCTTTAAACCAGCTGAATATCAAGTTTTTTCATGAATGAAATTAATGTACTATGATCCAGCTATCTTATGATGTTTTGGGGCAAGCAAGGAAATCTATTCATACCTAGGAAAACAAAAGATTTCTTACAGGGAAAAAAAATCCCTTTCTGCCAGAATTTTGCCAGTGAAAAATAGATTTGTGTAAAATATAACAAATGAGAAAGTCACAGTTAAATTCCTGGATATTAATTCTCAGACTTCAAAATAACACTTCCTACTTGTTCATATTACCCTTGACATTTATTGCTTTTATTCATTTATCCATTTATTATTGCTCTTTATTTATTATTCAATAAAGATTCATCAAGTGTTTATTAGGTGTCGCGCACTGGGAAATGAAGAAGATTGAACTTAATATGGAACTGATTCCCAGTCTTCCAAAATTTACAAATGTGCAGGTAGACATTGAACAAGCAATTATAGTCAAATGTGATGACAATAATAAGAAGAGAACAAGGGGCTCTAAGACTATACGTTGAGAACCCATAAGAGACTCTTAACCATAGGAAACAAACTGAGGGTTGCTGGAGGGGTGGTGGGTGGGGGCATGGGGTAACTGGGTGATGGGCATTAAGGAGGGCACGGGATGTGATGAGCACTGGGTATTATATGCAACTGATGAATCACTAAACTCTACCTCTGAAACTAATAATACACTATATGTTGATTAACTGAATTAAAAAAAAAAAAAAGATTATATGTTGGGGGTGGGGGATGAGAGGTTTCTACCTAAATCTGGGTTAGGGAAAAACACCTCTGTAAGGAAGAGACAGTTGAGCTGACACCTGAAGGATGAATAGCCACTGGGTAGGGATGAAGGATCAGGGATAAGGAGGGGACAGTGTTCTTTGTGAGGGAGTGCTATGTGCCAAGAGGCAGAGGTGAGAGAGTGTACTCTGTTCAAAGATCTAAGGGAAGCTTAGAGAGGGGAAAAGAGTGGAGGCTTGAGAGCAGATGGAAGGGACCAGCAGGGGGAAGTTTATGAAGTTTATGGTTAGTGATGGGAAGTTCTAAGTAGTGGGAAGTGCTAAGCGGTCAAGTATGTTTTTGAAAACCACTATTACTAGTTGGGCGAGCGGATAGCAGGAAAGTAACAGACAAGTTAGAGACTGTGGCATGGCTTAGGATGGAAAGTTTTGCCCAAATGTTAGAAACAAAAAGGTTCACTTTCTCCTTTGTTTGGGCCTCACTACAATCATTCCTTCTTCATAGACATGCCCAAATCATGGTAGACTATGGACCAATTATTATGTTGAGGATATCTGAAATTATTAAAAAAACTTTAATGAAAATTGTCACAAGTAATGATTGCTAATTTAATACATGTGAACAATTCTGAAATGTAGTCACTGAATGAATGCTTTTAAAAAATTTACTAAAAACAGGGGCACCTAGGTGGCTCAGTTGGTTAGGCATCCAACTCTTGATTTCAGCTCAGGTCATGATCTCAGGGTGGTGAGATCTAGCCCCACATTGGGATGAATGCTGGGCCTGGAGCATGCTTGGGGTTCTCTCTCTCCTTCTCCCTCTGCCCCTCCCCTCACCATGTATGCTCTCGCTCTCTCTCTAAAAAACAAAATTACTAAAACCAATTCATTTTAGGGGCGCCTGGGTGGCTCAGTCGTTAAGCGTCTGCCTTCGGCTCAGGTCATGATCCCAGGGTTCTGGGATCGAGCCCCGCATCAGGCTCCCTGCTCAGCGGGAGGCCTGCTTCTCCCTCTCCCACTCCCCCTGCTTGTGTTCCTGCTCTCGCTCTCTCTCTGTCAAATAAATAAATAAAATCTTTAAAAAAAATTTGCAAAAAAACCCAAAAAACAATCCATTTTAGCTCGAAGCCAGCATGTAATATAATACATATAATACTTCTACTTTCTTCTCCAACTGGACACCATAGCTCTGGGTCACACGTTGTGAACGGCATATGGAAAAATGCCGAAAACTACAGTCAGGATGGTGTGGTAAAAACGGATTATAACTGCGAGTCTGCTATTCTGAAGCAGAGGTTCTGAAGGTGGGACCTTGATAAAAGTGGGCTTCAAGGAGTTTGTAAAACTTTAAAATTGTATCTGAAAATGGTATGTGTAAGTCCTCTTTTGGAGAAGAGGACTGAATGCTTTCATCAGATTTCCAAAAGCCTCCATGACTGATGTGAGAACTGCTGCTCTCAAGTTCCCTAAACCCTGGGTTCCTTTTCGTTAACCAGAAGTGCCAAGAGCCAAAATAAAAAAGCTATTTACGCTAAGTATTGTTTCCCAGATGGCTTTTCTTTAGGGCAGAATAGAAAGGATTCCACCTTCCCCAAGACCTAAAGATATTGATCTTTCTGTGATATTGCTCATCTTCTTCCTCTGTCCCTCCCACCCACCACTTTAAAAAATCTATCAGTATGGGGGTGCCTGGGTGGCTCAGTCGGTTAAGTCTGCCTTTGGCTCAGGTCATGATCCCAGGGTCCTGGGATCGAGCCCCACATCGGGCTCCCTGCTCAGCGGGAAGCCTGCTTCTCTCTCTCCCACTTCCCCTGCTTGTGTTCCTGCTCCCCCTATCTCTCTCTCTGTCAAATAAATAAATAAGATCTTCAAAAGAAAAATCCATCAATATGTTGTTCCAGACAGTTACTTATAGTCTTGCTGTCCACAGCCTGTGGACTCTTGAGTCAGACTTCCTGGATTGGAATCCCAACTCTATCATTACCTGTGTGATGCTGGATCGGTCGCATAGCCTCTCTGTGCCTTAGTTTCCCTATTTAAAAATAAAGACAATAATAACACCTACCTATAATGGTGTTGTGAAAACTAAAAGTAATACCAGCTGTAAATCACTTAGAACAGAGCCTAGCACTTAGTAAATGCTCTGTAGGTGTTAGCTTATTATTATTTCTTCATAAAATGTATTCATCAAATGCGGAAGTTGGATCATTTGTCTTCATACTGCCTTTCACTTTGAGCAATTCCATGATTCTATTTTTAAATGCAAAAGCAGAGAGGGAAAAAAGATATGGATCAGGATTACAGTAAGTAGGGGTGAGGTTCCTTTGCCTGGCGTGGATACGCGGTGGCCATGTCAATGGCACCCCGAGCCCCACCACATGAAACACAACCCATGCAAAAATCACGTTTGGCACACACATAGCTTCAAGATGAGCCCTAGTCTCCTCACTTCCTTTTCATCCAGATTACCATGTCTGAGCCCCTCCTGTCTAGAACATTTGGAGTTACCATTGTGGTACAGTCAGTGTGGGGGTGGCTATAGGCTTGCTTTAAGCATATCATCTCCCACTGCCCAAGACTACAGACCCTTTATTTTGAGCCACAGACCCAGCAAAGCTCTGGACACATAAACATTTGTTGACCATGGTCATCAGTAACATTTCTTCTTTCCTATCAGGTTTGCTGCCTCAAAGAATGATGTCTAACTGTAGAATAACTACCCCCGTTCTGCAGCTGTATCTTGAGACTAGAGGGCCAGATTAGTAGCTCTGCATACTGAAGTCATATAACTTCCCAATTCTGTAACTTTTAAGCATTTTTAAAAGTAGTGAAGACGGGCACCTGGGTGGCTCAGTCATTAAGCGTCTGCCTTCGGCTCAGGTCATGATCCCAGGGTCCTGGGATCGAGTCCCACATCAGGCTCCCTGCTCTCCCTCTCCCACTCCCCCTGCTTGTGTTCCTACTCTAGCTATCTCTCTCTCTGTCAAATAAATAAAAAAATCTTAAAAAAAAAAAAAGTAGTGAAGACAAGATCGGGCACGTTCAAGGTGGTATGGCCGTAGACAATTCTCCCAGTTTATATAAAATACAGTTGATCCTTGAACAATACAATTTTGAAGTGCATGAGTCCACTTATATACAGATTTTTTTCAATAAATACAGTACTATAAATGTATTTTCTCTGCCTTATGATTTTTTAAATAACATTTTCTTTTCCTAGCTTGTTTTATTGTAAGAAGACAGTATAAAATACATATAGTATACAAATATGTGTTAATTGTTTATGTTATCAGTAAGGTTTCAGGTCAACAGGCTATTAGTAGTGAAGTTTTTGGGGACTCAAAAGTTATAGTTAGGGGGCGCCAAGTGGCTCAGTCAGTTAAGCGTCTGCCTTCCGCTCAAGTCACGATCCCAGGGTCCTGGGATCGAGCCCACATCAGGCTCCCTGCTCGGCAGAAGCCTGCTTCTCCCTCTCCTCTCCACTTGTGCTCTCTCTTGCGGTCTCTGTCATTATCTGTCTCTCTCTCTCAAATAAATAAAATCTTAAAAAAAAGTTATAGTTAGATTTTTGACTGCATGGGGGGTTGGCACCTCTAACCACCACATTGTTCAAGGGTCAACTATATATCCTTATTATATATAATATATATAGCATAATAATATGCAATATATGTGTGTGTGTATATATATATATATAGTCTTATTTTGGCTGGTGTCCACATTCCATACTGCTTTGGAATCCCGATTTTAGCAATATCAGCCGTGTTTCTAGATGAAAACTTGGGATTTCAGCTATCTCCATGGCATATGCCATGGGACTTCATCTTTTCTTTCTTATGAAAGGCCTGATACTTTGCCCTCACATGAAAGATAGCTCCCATGTTGTTTCAGGAAAATATAGATCAATAAACTACAAAGTACATGTTTGAAAGTGAAGGGTAAGTCCAAATTCAATAACCTACACTGGTAAAAATTCATTTAAAAATATGTGTTGGGGAACCTCAGGCTTATACTCCAAATTTGAAAATAGGAGTGACCCTATTTCTATGCCATCACACTCACCTATAATTAGCAGGTCAGGAGAGGAGTTTGGGGTAAATGTGGTATCTAAACAAAGTAAAAGCTGAGGGAAAGTAGTTGGCATACAAATAAGGGGAGGACAAAGAGAAGCTAAAATGGAGCTTGAGCATATGAAATAGTGGTAAGATGACCTCCCCACGGAAAGACTGTACATGAAGAAGTGTAAGGGGAAATGATTCATTTACCATTAGGTCTCAACCAATATAGGATTGACGATTTTTTTTTTGAATTTTACGTTTTTATTCCTGAAATAGCATATCCATAGTATTTATGAACACTCTAAGGCTACTTGGTGACTATTTCTATCAAGGTTGAAGGCCTCAAATGGGAAAAAGAAGCAGCAAATTAACTAACAATGTTTAATTTTGCATTTCAATGCCCACATCTAATCATTCTTTTTTTTTTTTGAGTAAAGAATTTCTCTTCTCCTTTTCGCCCTTTAGCAAATAAAAACGTGTTTGCATTTGCCCTAGTGTATTTGAACTTGAAACACATAGTCTAACAAACAAGGATGTCCTAAGATCTCTGGGCAAGCTACATAGTTGCAAATAAAAGAGAGCTTTAAGAATAGAAATGTGGATTAAGAAGTCCTAAAATAAATAAGTCATGAAAATGGAAAGTACAGCATAGGGAATATAGTCAGTAATATTATAATAATGTTGTATGGTGACTACACTTACTCAGAGAGAGCACTGAGTAATGTATAGAATTGTTGAATTCATCCTTATGTTGTACGCCTGAAAGTAATATAACATTTTATGTCAACTATACTTCATAATATAATAATAAAAATATGTAATATAATAATAAAAAATTTAAGCTCCACTAAAAAAAAGAATAGAAATGTGAATAAGGCAAAAATAAATGTGTGCCATCAGAACCCGATAGCATAGCTCCTTGATAAGATGAAGGTGAAGGAAATAAGTCTACAGAAGAAATTATTTGAAAATTTTGCCTTTTTATGGATAGTGAATGTGAATAAAGCTTATATATATTTAAATATGTTGCTAAGATGTGACTCATATATTTTAAAGAAAAAAATTTTAGTTGTTCTTGCAATTTTTTTCTCTAAATTTGTTTTTCTCAACAAATAGTTTTGACGGTTCATAACATTTTCTGGAATTTGGAGAAATATTTAGGCATACTTGATGCTGGCATCAATTTACATAGCCTCAGATTCATTATTGATTGGGTAAGTGAATCACGTCTGTCCTGGTCCTTTCTGGAAGTCTCTGCATGCAGGATTTACAGATCGTCTTCATATCCCATGCCGTTCTCATCACCTACCATCTGAGTTGTGATTGAACATCCTTATTGTTCTTCGTTCAAGTGACAGTGTTAAGTTTCTTTAAATTTTCTATAGTCACAAAGTCTTTTCTTAGAGATGAAGTTCTTAAAGACAATAAGTTTATGTAGGCTCATGTGAAAATTGTTTGCATGTAATAATTACATGTTGGGAGTTATATTAGCTCTACCCTTTTATGAATTAATGAATCCTGTTGGTACTTATATAACAGTACCAACATTTGCATTTGGTGTCTCATCTCTTAAAACGCAGTTTACCAAAAAGTGTATTTTGAGTGGTTCAGGCTTAAAGAAAAATTTGCAGATGGCAAATATTACCTTTTGGCCATAGATGGTGACTCTTGATAAAATTTATCATTTAAAGTCTAAATTACTGAAACAATTTAAGAGAGTCAATTGCTATCGAACCCTATATCCTGATGAATTGAAATAACTTTTGCAAAACTGAAGTAAAAATAGGCCTTTTTAAAAAAAATATACAAGTAATAAAATCACTAGAAAATAGAGCTGAAGATTGGTGCCAGGATCTGTGTTGGCTCTGGGATTTCACACGGCATTTCTTGAGTTGTTTCCTCACCTATAGCTCATGGACAGAGTATTACTCAAGAAATTGATTCAAACTGCTTTCATATTCTCATACAAGATGATTGCTTAGAGCCAGCACAAGATATCCTGCCTAAGTTTACTGAAGCTCTTCTTCCCCTTGGTCCTCCCTATTCCTCCTGCCTAGTTGCTGCATCTCAAACCTTTCCTTTTGAATGCCTATTGCTCTCCCCTTGCATGCAGTGCTCTCAACTTAGGGCCTTGGCTCTAACTCTACTCTTTGCCTAAAAAGTTCTTCTCTATAATAGCTGCTGGCCTAATTTCTTCACCCTTTTATGTACTTACTCAAATACTACCTTTTCAATGAGCCCTGGGCTTTTTTTTTTTTTTTTGATTTTATTTATTTATTTGAGAGAGAGACAGAGGTAGTGAGAGAGAGCACAAGCAGGGAGGAGAGGGAGAAACAAGCTCCCTGCTGAGCTGGGAGCCTGATGTGGGGCTCGATCCCAGGACCTCGGGATCATGACCTGAGCCGAAGGCAGACACTTAACCGACTGAGCCACCCAGGCGCTCCCAGCCCTAGTCTTTGAACTGCTGCTACAACCTGCCCTTTGCCCCCAAGCTAAGTAATATTTTATCCCCGCTGAACAGATGAGCTAATTGAGCCTTAGACAGGTTGAGTTAACTAGTTCAGTTTAAGTTGTTCCTAATTTTTCACCATTATAATGCTTCCATAAATATCCTAATACACATATCTTTTGGCACTCTTATTTCCCCAAACAATTTCCTAGATGTAGACACGCTGATCCAAAAATGTGCATATATTCCAAGAGTGTACACATTTTTTGGCTCTGTATTTTAATAGTCATCACAGCAATGCCAGAGGGGAAAATGAAAGAGCACATGAAAATTTGTATGTGAGTCATTGGGCTTGACTTTAGGGTTGGGCCAAGCATCCCCCTTCAAAACCTATCACCTCTTTTCTCTTGTCAAAACGTACCTTGTTGGGTACCTTGCAAGGTAAGTGGCTCTTAAACTTGAAAGATTCACTCATAATTTCCACAGTGGCCGTTACTTGGACATACCCTAGCCCCCATCTTGGAGCAGTGTAGGAGAAGGGGTAAAAAGTAACTACAGTTGCTGAGGGTGTGTGTCCTGACAATGGCTGTTGGAACCAACATTGACACTTCGGTGTAGACAGAGCTTTAGGCCAAGTTCTGCTTTATTCCGATCATCTCTTCAGATTTCCTTGAAATGTTTGTATTTCTTGGCTGCCGCCAACCTGCTGCTCTATGAAATGCACCCAGAAAAGGCTTTAAAATATGCATGAATTGAACCAAATAGTAATTATGTTAGTGTCCTTTAAAAATTTTCTTTTAGAAAATTAAATAAACCCTTGTGCTTGATAAATCCTAAATGCTAATTTAAAAATGAGAAACGCATTTCCATGCCTTCATCACTTACAGTGAAATGCTAACCTGAATGATAAATGGAACCTTTTCTTTTTAACAGTTGGTGGCATTTATACTGTGATTCAGACAAAGGCCAAAACCACAGCAGACGAATGGGGAGACCATTATTTTCTGATTGGCCCATATTTTGAGCATAATATGAAGACTCAGGTGGAACAGTGTGAACCTATAAATGATGCTGTTAGAAGGGCAGTGGACACAATGAATAAACATGGCTGCCAGGTAAGGGACAGACTGACACTTCACTCAGCAACACTAGTAACCTGTTATGGGAGAAGAGACCACCATTTATATGAACTCACAGGAGACTATCTACTTAGGGAAAAGGAGCAGGTTTGTGAGAAAGATGATGAATTTGATTGTAAACAGGTTACATTTGAGGCACCTTGTGAAAACCATTGGGAAATGTCTAATAGGATAATAGGTTTGGAGCTCAGCAGAAGATAGAGGATAAAGATGTTTGGGGGAAAGTCATTTGTGTTTAAATTGTAGTTGACATTATAAGTGTTGATAACAGTGTTAAGCAGAAGTTTATAGACTAAGAGCAAATGTTTTGAGCCAAACCTTTGGGAATGTCAACATGTTAGAACATCTACATTAAACAAAACAAAACAAAACTCAGAGGTTACACAAGTACAAATACAGCTAGTGATGTAGAACCAAGGGTGTGCAAATCCTAATCCTCAGAACCTGTGAATATGTTAGCTTATATAACAAAAGGATTTTGTAGATTTGGATCATGAGGTGGGGAGATTATCCTGGATTATCTAGGTGGGCCCAATGTAACCACTGGGGTCCTTACAAAAGAGAGGCAGTAGAGTTAGAATTAGAAAGAAGATGTGCCAATGGAAGCAGAGGTTGGTCTGATGAGCTTTGAAGATGGAGGAAGAGGCCACAAGCCAAGGAATGCAGGTTACCTCTAGAAGCTGGGAAAGACCAGGAAACAGATTCCCCTAGAGCCTACAGATGGACTGTGACTCTGCCAACATGTTGATTTTAACCCCAAAGACCCATTTCAGATTACTGACTCCCAAACCTGAAAGATCACAAATTTGTGTTTTTTTAAGCCACTAGGTTTGTGGCTTAATCTCTTGCCATCACAATAGCAATAGGTCAAAACAAGGGAGGAGAGAGTTTCTAGTATGAAGGAGGGATTAAGTCAATGAAAGAATTTAACCAAAGTCAGTTGGGTTTAGCAATATTCAGGCCATTCATGGTAATCTTGCCAAATACAGCCTAAAGGGAGAAGGGGGTTAAATCAGATTGAGGAATGAGTGAATGGTGAGGAAAAGGGTCCAGAAGTTGTGGCATAGAAGTTTCTTCTATGAAGAAAAAGGATAATTAAGTATGATTATGTGACTGACTGAATTAATGGTTGAATTGATGGACAGTTGTGTCTGAAATGGGTAGGAAAGGAAGCAAAGCCAGAAAGGAGGTGATGATGTAGGAAAAAATGGAAGGTTCCAGAAACTGGAGGTCTTGATGAGAAAGAACGGAATATATATGCTGGGAGAAACAGAGTGAGGGAAGTGGAGGTATAAATGTTGTAGTCAAGTAACAAAATGCTCAGGCTGAATATTTCAGAGAAGGAACAGTTTGGGTTTTGACAAGGATAACAATGCAGCCATGAGCTTGTGTAGCTGGAATGCCATGGACATGAAGTTCTTTGAAGTCAATAAAGTCAGAAAAATATGAGGCTAAGTGTGTAGGATAAAAACTTGGATTTTGAAGTTGCCCAGAAAAAGGTGGAAAAGTAGCCAGATGATTAATAGAACAAGGAAACGTAGTGTATTTGGATAACATAAATTTCAAAAATGTCTTTATACACAAATAATAAGTTTCATTGTGATTTTTAAAAATCCAAACTTCGTTCATACTCATCCCAGGAATATAGTTTCTGGGGGTGAAAAAATTAAAGGCCCTCATGGAGATGTCCATGTGAGTAGCAGGGTCTACAAGGTCTATGCAAGGCTTAAGATGCAGAAGATTTAAATGAAGGGAACTTGAGGTCCCAGAGGGCAACAGGGAAATCTATCATAGTGACTGTAGCATAGAGAACATAGGAAAGTGAAAGAGGGATGCATGTTGTACTATTGGGATGAAAGACTGAGACTTTGGAAGGGGCTTGCATTTGAAGCTCTCATGAAAGAAGAGGGAGATGAAAAGCATAATGGTCTGACTGGTCTCAAGGTTCTAAATGGATTTCTGATGTAAGATGTTTCCATGTCAGAGCCAAGAACTCACCGAAAGTCAAAACAAGCTAGCTTACATTCTCTAGTGATCTCAGCTCACTGTATCATACGTCATATATTAGGCAGTCAGTAACTATTCATTGAATGAATACATAAATCAATGAAAGTCCTAAAGAGAAAACAATTGAAAAGGAAAACTCAGTCTGAAAAGGGAAGAGTACCATGATAAATACTAATTACAATGGAAGCAACCAACAGATAATGGGAGTCTTTCAGAGTTGTCCAAGGCTAGATGGGAGAGATATCACCATGCATTTCTGAGTCCTGTGGAAGAGAATGATGATCAAATGGGCTTTCAAGCTCCCCAAATTCAACCTTGGGTAGAGTCACAGTGTCAATAACTAAGCAATGTGGACATATTCAGTTTACTAGAGAGGTCTGGATACCCTATGAGAGGCTCTCAGGTTTGCCAACTTCCAAGAAGTGTTTGAAGTAATTTATGGAGTTGCATACCATGTAATTGGAGAATAAACCTAAAATAAAAGTCAAGACAAAAGAGTGATGAATAGAGAATAGAATAGAAAAATAGAGGCCAAAAAGAAAGTTGAAATTTGGATATACAAGTGATTATATAACTACAATTGGGAAAAAATGAGATAGCTAATACATTAAAACTTGTACAAGATAAAACAGGAATAAAAGAATTGAATTTGAAGAATGTAACAGGATTAGACTTTGAGCTGCTAGATTAAAGAGATAAAGTATCTTGAGCAATATATTTAGTTAAGACACCTGGCAGCAATCATGTTGGGAAACACATTGTGTCACCTTTTTCTTTTTTTGATAGGAGGAATGAGAGAAATCATATACATTTGTTTATAGAAACAAATTTTTCTAGTGTGAAATATTATAGGAAGTCCTGTTGCATAATTAAAATAAGTGACACTATAGACATTATATCCAACTACAAATTAAAGATACAGAGCAGTTCATCTTATGACTCTATCATAAAAACATAGACCATGATATTAAATCTGAAAACCATGAGCTCAAGTTCACAGGAGGGGAATGAGAAACAGAAGGACAGAGATTGGGGCCGCTGGGTGGCTCAGTAGGCTAAGCATCCGCCTTTGGCTCAGGTCATGATACCGGAGTCCTGGGATCGAGTCCCGCGTCGGGCTCCCTGCTCAGCCAGGAGCCTGCTCCTTCCTCTCCCTCTGCCCCCTGCTTGTGCTCTCTCTCTCTCATTCTCTCACTCTTTCTCTCAAAAAAAAAAAAAAAAAATGATGGAGATTACATTATCTAGATACTTTACTTTTAAATGACCAAATTTAATGAAGGATAAGAACTTGGAGGTTTAGATGAAGGGATGCAAGCCCATTCCATGTTCAGGCTCAAATATCAGATGCTTTGTGTTACCACTACAGTTTCCTATATAGCTTGGATAGTCTGCTGTTGAGTTCTAAATAAAGTTTAAATATTCTAAGCACAGATACCATTTTCTCCCTTGCATTGCCTGGTATTACTGCAAAGCTCTGTGTTCTTTATATGGCAGGTGCACTTTGGAAGATGGCTGATAGAAGGAAGTCCTTACGTGGTGCTCTTTGACGTAGGCTATTCTGCTTGGAACCTGGACAGGTGGAAGGGTGACCTCTGGGAAGCATGCAGTGTCGGCATACCTTACCATGACCGAGAAGCCAACGATATGCTGATATTCGGATCTTTAACTGCCTGGTTCTTAAAAGAGGTACAGTTTATTGTATAGTCATGCAACAGAGGAGGAGCATAATTGTGCTCTGTGCTCAGCAATGGTCCCATGATTTTTAGATTACACTAAATGAGATGATGCCATCATGATTGTCCTAATACATTTCAAAAGAATCTGAGAAAATGTTCAGCCTTCCTCTAACTAAATCCTAGCTTTCAGAACAGGTTAACAATCATGCTTATTAATATATACCTCATGTCAGATTTAAATAGAATGATGTGTATAAAACAACCAATTATATTGCCTGATACTAGATGGTAAGATATATACAAGTAAAAAAGCAGTATACATCATGCACTATGTACCTGAATTCTAGACTTATGGCAGTAGAAATTCTAATAGCTTGAAATACTTGGTTTTGTTTATGCATGAGTACTTGGGCAACTGCAGTGGTTTTTAGATATTTTCATCATTTTTCTAAGGGCTGAAGTGATCTCGGCAGTTGCTGAGGATCTGTAGCAGTGAAATATCCCCCCCCAAAAAACAACCCTCCAAACCCCAAAATACCCCAAGAGCATTAGATATCAATCCTTGTGAAATGAACCAAGCCTGCGCTCTCAGTTCTCAAAGGAGGATTTCTTTGCATTCCTTGCATTACCTCAAAATGATTATGCCTAACTTAAAAATCAGACGGTGAAGGAAGAGCATCCTTAGCAAAGTGGGAGGGTAGTCTAAGGACAAATCACAGAACTGTATGTTGGCAGCGCATCCCCTTGACCAGCCTTACTTACTGATAAAGTCGTATTCCAATAGCCATGAAAGGCTGCCTTGAAGTGAAGGGGAAGGTGGAGGGACAGTCCCATTGCTTTGTGTTGGCGACAGAATTAGGAGAACAGGGTGAGGGTGCTGACGAGATCTGACCTAATGACAATAAGCCGTCTTGTTTTAGCATCAGTTGGTGGAACCAATTCTTCCTCAGCAAACTGCCTCCCTGAGCCAGGGCCCTCAGGGCTGAGGCCAGCCTCTGTGTGTGTGTGTGTGTGTGTGTGCGTGTGTGTGTGCGCGTGCCCCTGCGCTCGCGCTTTCATCCTTTCTGTTAAAGGAAACTAGAGAGGAGAGAAGCAAGAAAGTGAAAGCCCCAGTGTTCTCTAAAGTAAAGCTATTACAGAAACAGAAATTTTCTTTGATTCAAAGGGTAAATAAAGACATTGACAAAAATCCAAGGCTGCTGGGCAAGCCCTGTTTCTGCAGTCACCTCTTGGCTGCCACCAATCTGTGCACCTGTTAATTACCATGAGGAGCTTTTTTGAAGAACGAGTACTTTAAACTACAAAGGTCCTAGCCTAAGTCAGTGGTTCTCAAAGAGTATTTCCATGGACCACCAGCAGCAGCATCGCCTGCAAACTTGCAAGACATGCAAACTCTTGTCCCTAGCCCAGAATTAGATTACCTGGTGATGGGGACCCTGGTATCTGCACATGACCAGACTTCCAGGTGACGCTGATGTCCTCCAAGTGTGAGAACTGCCTTCTTGGGTGAAATCTCGATTTCCCAGTCCTCTGCTCAGGCTCCTCAAATGCACGTGTTTTGCATGATCAATTCTACTCCCCCATTGAAGAAACAGGCAGTCATAAGGGGAGTGGAATGTAAATATTAAATTTCTGTAAGGGTGAAACAAGGTAACTTTAAGGCAAGGAAACTGAGGCCCTGCCTAGTTTTAGAACTAGACTGGGATTAGACCTGGGTCCTCAGCATGTTACTAAATTAGGATTTGCTTCCAAGCAAGTTATTCACCTCCTTCCGTCCAGTTCCATATTCTTAAAATAATGTTAAAGTGCTTTTGGCTCCAATTACAGAAGATCCAAATAAGACTGACTTAAAACATGACGTCATGGATTGTTTATTTCAAAAGAAGCTTGTAAGTGGGTAGTCCCCATTGATTCAGCTGCTCAGTGGTATCTTCAAGGATATTATCGCTATTATTCATTCATCCATTCGGTGAATATTTATGGAGTGCCTACTGTGCATTTGTTCCGAGGCCTCTCTGTAGATACAAAAGTAAATCTGATCCATTCCTGAAAGGGAGGATTATGCCATACAAATATATGGGCTTTATGAACATGCAACTAAGTCCTATAAAACAATTCTGCTTGCTAAATCTGCATGCTTCATGCTTACCTCTCTTTAGATTTTGCTAAAATTTACAGGCACAAACGATAACTTTCCTTAAGCTGTGGGCCATGATCAAGATCAAGCTTTACCAACAACTGTTCTAAATGCTTCTTTTCTGATGTAGGTGACAGATCATGCAGATGGGAAACATGTCATTGCCCAATTCCATGAATGGCAGGCGGGAACTGGACTGATCCTTTCTCGAGCTCGGAAACTTCCCATCGCTACAATATTTACCACTCACGCCACACTGCTTGGGAGGTATCTCTGTGCAGCAAACATTGATTTCTACAACCATCTCGATAAGGTAAATAGTTCTCCCTCCTTCCCCGCCTCACCACCTTTCTTTTCTAATCCTTGAAGCTGAAGGATGAGAAGTATTGATCTTTACATTTCATCTGCCAGCCAGATGGCAGAAATGCCCTTTTAACTAATCAATATTCATGACAAAGCCTCCCTTGAGGTGACAGAGAGTTGCTGCCGTTTAACTTTGTCAGAGTGCAGTAGAGCATAGTGGTGACAGGCCGGATGCGTGTCTGCTTTGGAGCAATAGATCCAAGATCCCAAGAGGCATAGCGGGTGTGAGAGGGTTGGAGTCCTGTGTATCCTGAAGCTGAAGAAACACTGTGAGGATGCTGGGTCCACACACCACCCTGAGCGGCAGCTACAGACCAAACCTTCTAGGCATACAACTTGCCCTATGTGGCTCCCTCTCTCCTTCAAGTGAACAAATGGTCATATTTCTCCTGTAACTCCACGAGGTGTAGGTGGAGTCGGTGTGGGGGTCGAGTAAGACAGCTATTTAAAACAGGGATGTGGGTCTTTGGAGGCCAAACATTTGGGTTTCCTTATCTTAGAAGACTGCCCAACTCTATGACCAAAGACATTCAGTTTTGACTTTTTCTTTTATTTGTTGACAGTTAAATCAGATTAATAAAAATATATCATTTATATCATCATGTCAGTAATACCAACAAAGCATTTGAGTACCAGAAAGTCAGGGTTTTACAGATTTGGTATCTATACTGCCAATCAAATCAACCTAGCATCTTAGGGTTCCATTTACTGTCAGGAAAATTAGGAAGTTGGAAAGTTGATTTCTAAAGACTTTCCCAGTTTAAAAAAGTTCTAGGATTCTAGAAACAGAATATGTGTGTGTGTGTGTGTGTGTGTGTGAGAGAGAGAGAGAGAGAGAGTGTGTTTGTAATACATGAACATTTAGATAATGATAGTGGAAAGCTGTCCTACAATTCTGAAGACCCTTTTCAGTGCAGGAAATTTCTTTCTGACAAATTTTAACATTTGCAAAGCAGTGTGTGGTCCTAAAGAGAGCTTTCCTGTAAAAAGGTCAGCCTAACCTAAAGGTCAAACTGTAAACATAAGATGTACCTTTAAAATAAAGTCACCGAGGAATTCAGAAATCAGATCAAGGAAATTTCCTAACGGTATATGATAATGGTAGACTAATAAGGGCAAACTAGTGATCTGTGATAGCTCAGCAACCTTGTTTCCCAGAGAAGAGCAGACTTTGATTTTTGTGAAAGAGAAAATATTGGAGAGGCATATCAAATATTTTACTTCAGAATATCTAAGACCATTATATAATAACAATTAATAAAAACAACTAATAAAATTCATCAGACATTAATAGTTGTTTTTAAGTAACAAACAATTATAGCATATAGTTACATATTACAATTTTATTCTTTGGATAAAATGTCAGTATTTATATCGTGCTATCCTCAAAATGCATCTCTCCAGCTTAAAGCTCTTCACTGATTGAAATATGTGAGCTTAGTCAGCCCCAGCCCATCTTTCTAGTAAAATATCCTGCCCAGCAGAGTGACTAGTAGATCACAAGTAGTTAAGAACTAGATTTTGCGTGAAACTCAATCATTTTTCACAGAAAAGGCCCCCGTAATCATTTTCTTTCTTTTTCTTTGTTAAGATTTTATTTATTTATTTGACACAGAGAGACACAGCAAGAGAGGGAACATAAGCAGGGGGAGTGGGAGAGGGAGAAGCAGGCCTCCAGCAGAGCAGGGAGCCTGATGCGGGGCTTGATCCCAGGATCCTAGGATCATGACCTGACCCGAAGGCAGACGCTTAACAACTGAGCCACCCAGGCATATCCCCCCGTAATCATTTTCTACAGCAGATCCCTCCACTCTATGCTCACAGTAGGTTTAGAATCTGGATGTTATATAATAATAACAAGTTATAAGCATGAAAAGTTTTTAAAAGTTCAACATAAGAAATGAGTCATAATTTAGTCTTTGATGCAAGACCCGGAGTCAGTTGTTAATGTGGGGATAATGTGGGGGTAACGCTCTGGCTAATGTGGGGGTAATGCTCTGGCTCAGGCAAATAAACATAGGGGAAGAATAGGAACAAGAATAAAAGTATCCGACTTTTATAAAAATATAAAGAGTAGAATTATTTTACTCAAATTCTAATTGCTGACTGAAAACATGTTTGGTTAATAGCCAATTCACAGGACTTTGATGTTGGTTTAAGTTTTTAGTTAAATTTGTTAACTAAAATAACATTTCAACCATTTTCAACCAGCGTATGAATCTTCTGAGACTCTCCAAGAAGATATTTTTTAAAGATTTTATTTATTTATTTATTTATTTATTTATTTATTTATTTATTTATTGAGAGAGTGAGAGTGCAAGCAGGGGGAGGGACAGAGGGGAAGCCGAGTCCCTGCTGAGCGAGGAGACCAATGAGGAACTCAGAGCAGGGCTCCATGAGGGGCTCCATACAGGACCTCCACACAGGGCTCAATCCCACAACCCTGAGATCCTGACCTGAGCCGAAACCAACAATTGGACCCTTGACTGACTGAGCCACCCAGGCACCCCTTCAAGAAGGTATATCCAAATTCATTCTATGGGCCCAGCCATTGATTGATTTTCCCCTCAACTATAATGGTTACATAAATACTGCTTTAATAAAAAAAAGAAGGCCATTGATTTTCTTATGCTTTGGCCTCTTTTTCCTTGATGGCATCAGGGTTTCCTGGGTGGAAATGTAAGGACAGTGCTGTCTGGGATGAAAAAACTGAAAGAACCCATAGACAATTGCTTGATGGATTTTAACTCTTTCATCTGACCAAGTTTTGAGCTCATAACCTTTAGTGATAGGGTAATCCTCCTCTGTCACTGGATTGTGCTTTATTGACTAATATATACTTTGCCTCATTTTTGTTCTTTTGTACACGTTTTCCTGAATCCAATAAAAAGTAATGAGATACATGAAAATGTAGGAAAGTAAGATCCATTGTCAAAATAAGCAGGGCCAGATATGTCCTAGATGTTGGAATTACTGGACAGAGATTTTATAGTTTTTTTTTTAAGGTTTTATTTATTCATTTGAGAGAGAGAGAGCGAGGGAGCACACAAACGGGGGTGGGGAGGGGCAGAGGGAGAGGCAGACTCCCCACTGAGCAGGGAGCCAGATGGGGCTCCATCCCAGGACCCTGAGATCATGACCTGAGCCAAAGGCAGATGGTTAACCAACTGAGCCAGCCAGGCACCCCCCAGACAGAGATTTTTAACAGACTATCACATACATGTGGGAAAGTGGACAACCTGTATAAACACTTAGGGTTGCTGTAAACCACAGGTGTGGCCATGCATACAGCAGGCCTAGGAAGTAAGGGGCCCCATGAAACCAGGAAAAGGCACATGCCTGTCTTCATGGAGACTTTTCACGGGTTCTCCAGGCCTCTGCTGTTCTCCCCTTAAATATCTTCATACTTGGTTTTCTCATTTAGAAATCCCGTCTTCTTATCTCTAAATGTCCAGATGTTAAACATCATCCCATATATGAAATCTTATTACTCTCTGCAATAACCACAACAGCAATAGTAGTAACAATAGCTAAAGTTACAGTGCCAGGCACCTTTCTAAACATCTGACGTGTGTTATCTCATTTAATCTTCACAAAAGTTCAGTAACATAGGAAACATTTCATACTTTTCCCAGAGATATCTTTCCTAAGTATAGGCTGTCTTTACCATATGTTTAAACGAACCCTTTCAGTGCTTTCCATTGTGTAGGACAAAGGCCAACTTTCTAGCCTTGTCTATCATCTTATTATCCTATATCCAATGCTATAGTCTCATCAGATGTGATTTCCTGCACATGCTATTTGACTTAATATATGTGTTCTTTAGAGCAGCTAATTTTTCAATCCAAATAGCCTTTCCCCAAATTAAACTTTCATGTCCCAGTCCAAATGCCATTTTATTCATCCAGTCAGTTTGGAGGTACAAAAGTTAATAAGTCATGGTCCTTGCCCTTGAAAATCTCCCGCTCTGGAGGTGATAGTGACAGTATGAACATTTGCATAGTATGAGATATGTTTCCCTATTCTCAGCCAGTGAATCAGTCCCTCTCTGATCCTATGCCTTCCTCAGGCACTTACTCATTTCTGCCTAATTTTATCCTGTTTTCTCACTAATTTATAAGCTCTTTGAAGGCCACAGAAACGAACAAATGTTGGTTGAATGAGAGATTTGGTTGAATAAATGAGACCAGCCAAATAAAGCTTTTAGGAAAACTTCAGCTGAGCCAAGAATGCCATATAGAGCCCTGCTTCAAACATTTTCAGAGAAATATTACAACTATTACAGTCAAGAAAGAATGCTCTAGGACTTTGTTGTAATCTTTAGAATCATCTAATGAGTCTTTTTCAGTATTTTCCTCTATACGGCTCAGTAATTATCGGGACTGACTTGTTAGTGGAGCTGGAGTCTAAAGGACATAAAAGCAGGAGAGTGCACAAGCTTGGAGTCAGACTGATTTGGGATCAGTTCGGGGTGCTAAGACACTTAATAGGTATGTGATCTCGGGCAGGTGTCCTAACTTCTACAAGCTTCAATTTTCCCCTCCATGAACTGAAGACAAAATACAAGCCTCAGTGGTTTATGAGGATTAAATATGATATGTGCTTAGAAGAGAGCCTGATGCATAGTGTTAAGATAAGATAATAAGCTTCTAATAATCTTTATTATGGAAAGCATCCAGCTAATATAATGCCAAAACTTTATATACTTTTCTCATTTAAACACTGCTAGTTTCATCTGCAGCTATATGAGAGATAACAATATTCAGCAACTAAGCAAAATGGCAAAAGCCCACAACTGTGGCCAACTAATTAATTGGTGCTTGGCATGTTGGTTTTTAAAGTTTTTTTTTAAAGTTAAGATACCCAGAATAATGGATGATTGCACAATCTAACACACCATCCAATTAAAGTAACTGTACACCCCCTTGAAATTATACATTTGTGAGAGTT